ATATTTCATTTATATGTTCTTCAAAGAAAATGATACAAAGCCAAAGAATTTGAAGTTAAAATAACAACTGCATAATGTTTCTTTTGGTAAACATAGAAAGCGGGTCCCGCAGACTGGAACACCAGACGAAGGCTAAGTATTTCCTAAAAGCTATTTGATCTTTCAGCAAGGCCAACGTGTTTATTAACAAAATCAAGACACTTTTTAATGTAATGAGCTTTGTTGTAAATGGCATACTTTAGCACAGCTCATGATACCTCATTCAAATCTTCATAGAACATGTAGTGAAAATTTGAATAAGTCTGCTTCTTCTCCCACCAGCCGTTCACATGGTCATACCATGATCCAAAAACCACTACAAACACACAACAAAACACAACAGAGTGTTTACATGGGAAATAAAATGACAACATGGTCTCTTCTTTCTACAGTAAAACTAAACTGAACTCACTCTTCCCCTCCATGAAGTTCTGCATGAAGGTGCTCCATTTCCCCGGTTCTGGCATTGCACTACTCATGCGTTCAAAATGGAAGTAGGACACTGCATTGTCCTTTGCATTGCGGGCCACGTAGACTACCTGCAGAACCAGACAACAACAAGTTCTAATCTGTTTCATAAATCCCATGTCTCTATGGTTACAGGTATATATGCATTTTACCCTGCAGCGCTGCTCCCAGAAGGACTTCGGTACAAACTGGACTGGTAGATGAGTTTTAATGAGACGAGGAGTGGTGGGAAGTTTGTCTGCCAAGTCTGTACCTGCAAGGTAAGAATGATTGGTTTGCCACTAATAATGTCACGGTTCTGGGTCGTTTTGATCCAGCATTTTGAGTTTCTTATGTTTTGGTTTATTTTTTGCATTATGGATTATTTTCTGATGCTCTTGTGCTTTATTGATTATAATTAGAATTCTATGTTTCTATTTATTCATGTTTAGGGATTAGTTCTTAGGGTTTGTGTCTCATGTTTAGTGTAGGTTCAGTTCTGTGTCTGGTCTGCGTCTCTGTGTAGTGGTTTCTTGTTTCCTGTTTTATTGTGAAGGTCTGTGTCTCTTGTGAGTGTATTCAACATGGCTAAAAGTCCAACATTTTAGGCCAAATTTGAGATGTTTTACATTTACAGTGTTTGCACACTGACAAATAACCAAATATAATTATCAAGCAAAAAGAAAAATTGCACTTGATTAAGAATTAGATCACTCTGTTGAGACAACAGCAAATGAGAAACACACTGAGTGAGGTTGTATTTTAGCAGCTGCCGTTTCAATGTGTGACACACAAAAATTTATGCAATCAAAACTGATGTGAGACCTAATGGCAAAGTGGGTTTGCATATCTCCAGGAAGGGTACTCTGTCATAAAGAGGGATGGATGTCTGACGGTCTGGACCCATGTGCGCAAAATACAGAAGATCTAGGATGTAGGAGACCCATGTGGTTCCTGAGGTTGAAGCAGATAAAACCATGCTGTTCAGTGGGAAATATAGCAATACATGATATGATTTATTTTTTTAAAAAGAAAATATATATATATATATATAGTAATTAGCTCTACACAAGCCTTCTGTCCTTAAGCTTTATTTATATAATGTCTTTCAGCACAACATTCAGCTCAAAGGGTTTAACTTAATGAGATAAAAACCATTTTTAAAGCCAATAAAACACACACAGAGATAAAGAGAGTCTAAAATAACTTCCAAGGCTTTGATTTGAGTTTGAATCGGTTTACATTCACATGTCTTCACTTTCTGATGTCTACCCCGGCTGGCACAATTCGGTCTACTAAGGTTAAATTAACCTTACCTGCTTTAGTGTAAGTAGCAATAAGAATATCATCTGGTCTTGCTTTGAAGTTCTGTATGTTGTCCCAGTTTTTTGTAAACTGATTGATCATGCCAACTCCATGGAAGTCAAACAGTTCTGGTCGAGGTCGCGCCTCCATCTCTTGACTTTTTGACTTTTTTTTTTTTAATTAAAATACCTGCCTGAGTTTTTATTCCACACTTTAAAGTGTTTTTCTCACATTTAATGTAATTTTTAGTCTGCTTTACTGTTTTATTCTCTGCTCCTCATCCATTTCATAAATTAGTAACCTTCAGTGCCGTAATTATACCCTCAGTGTACTTTGCTTTTTAAGGTTGACAGGGGATTTCTTAAAATCACCCCGTAGTTCTTCAGCTGAGACACTTGAGTTAGAAAACACAAACACTGCAGTTGTCTTTACTCGCGAGGACAAGTGACAGAGCGCTCCTACACGTAAGAGACACTCACAGACTTGCGCTCTGTCACTGTCTGCTTTCTTTATTTATACAACAGGAATTAATACGTTCGTTCAGTGACATGAGCATGTGCGTATGTGATTGTGTGTGTGTGTGTGTGTGTGTTTTAGATCACGCATTAACCCGCTCCCAGATTTGATATTAATAGGATTAAAAAGCTTCTTATCTAACTAGATGTCAATCATTTAGCATAAACCTGGTTAAAAAGGAACTCATATCAACAGTAACACATTAACAGCCCGTATGGTACTGATTAATGATTAGTCAAAGTACCGACTGCTTCTGAGAAAAAAGCACAGGCACAGTGCCAGCAGTAAAAACTTGCACA